CGATGACTTGTCAGCGTGCGCAACACCTTGATACCTTCGCGTCGGTTTGGTTCGAATCCTTTAGCCACACACTGGGGAAACATGTTCTGCGAACGTAGATGGACGCTTGCGAACTGCAGGTTAGAGCATCTATATTTGCTCAGCTATTGTCACCAAGCCTATCAGTTTGCGGTGTTCCGTTAACCATGCAGATGCGGGATGAACATCGATGCACAAAAAATTGAATAGCGGAATTGTGTGGCCGATTATGCATCAAGGCAACCCATTCCTGACCCAGTTCCAAGGCAAAGGATTCAGTTTCTGCAGGCTGGACTACGCAGGACACCAAGTCTGCACCTAAGCGTGTCAAAGACGCCTAGCGGCAGGCTAAAGTACGGCCTAACTTTGACGGTTTCCAAATTGCACCTCGTGCAGACCGACAGAACTGCAGAACGGCAGCCCCTCGAGCCCCCCTCCAATCTCCCGTTGCAGGCATACATTGCAGGAGCATGCTGGTTGGTAGGATTTAATAATGGGCAAAATGGATGGAACTGCAGGCTGTTTTGCTCTGCAGTGCCATGATTCAGTGTCCAAAACCAGCCCACTGCAAGCTAGTATCCAACCGTTCTCTAGCTGATCTACCCCTACACGTCAAAGATACCTAAAATGGACCATTTTTGTCATGCAGATAATGATGTTTGACTGTAGATGGACCACATAATTTTGACATGGCAGGATTCCGAAGGCCTGGTTTCCTCATTCGGGTGTCTCGGTCGGAGTAGACTGACCTGAGCTGACCTGAGCTGACATTATATCAAGGTCGGCCATGAATCTCGCACCATTCACTTCCAGTGTGATATCCACCATAGTCAACCTATATATTGGTTCTCCCCGGTAGAGTAACCATAGGCCATCCCGGATTTGATAGCCCCGGGGCTCTTTACCTCTGCACCATTCAGCAATGCATCTACACTTACTATGTTCACTTTACCAGCGATCCAACTCCACAGAAGAGCACAAAGCCATTCGCGCTCGAATGCAAGAAAAGCACCCAGTCACAGGAGTTCACCAAGAGCTGCTGGTCACCTGGCGGCTCCTTTATGCCAACGCCCGTGAGGGACTTGTGCTACCTGTCATTGGCATGCTGGCTCGCTTCCTGCCTACTCCTAGTCTACTTGACAGCACCCCCTGGTTACAGCTCTCGTTCGTTCTCCTAAAGACCGTCTTCCTCTTCATCTGCCATCTCTATGTCTTCGAGATCGTCAACCAGGTCACCTCCGTCGAAGAGGACAGAATAAACAAACCTCAACGTCCCATTCCCTCTGGTCTTCTCACAGTCGCCGGTGGTCGCAAGCGCTGGTCAATCAGCTGGATCGTCTGTCCGCTCCTAGCATATTACCTCGCGGGTTCCCAGGCCTGCTGCCTCTTCATCTGGTACCAGCTTTGGACGTTCTTCTGTTATGTCTGGCCAAAGATCAACCACTTTATGTTCCGCAACGCCTTCGCCTCCATGGGGGTCTACAACATGTTCCGATTGATCGACGAGATTATCTACAGCGAAGTTCCATCCTTTCCTCTGCCGCCGACCAACTTTTACCTCGTCCTCTCAGCGTGGGTCATGCTCACCGTGCATATGCAGGAATTCCATGATAGCGAGGGGGACAGGAAGATGAACCGCCGGACATTGCCAGTCATTGCTGGGCCCAGATGGGATGGAGCTTTACGCTGGACGACTGCTCTTTTGGTTATGGGAACTGGGATAATGCCTTTGGTTATTACTGGCAAGCTCTCTTGGGACGGTCAAGACAAGGAGTTTCTCGACCAGCCTTGGATCTACAACGGCACCGTCATCATGGCACTACTGCACGTAATCTTTGCGTTCCTTTCAGGTCTTCGATGCGCATTCAGCTGGGGGAAAGCAGCTTATGACCGCAAGACCTACAAGCGTTTCTACATGCTTGCGGCATACACCATGGTATGCTATCTATCCTTTGCTTATTCGACGGTGTGATGTGTTTTCGACCTGCCCACGATCATGCTTTTTTGTTCATTTGCGTGTCATGTTATGTTGGACCAGGCAACATACACTGGGAGTTGGATTGGATTTTGCAGTGGAATAAGTACGCAGACAAACCCCATTAGATTACAGGATCGAAATAAAAGGGCTGCGAAGTCTTGACCCACGCAAGCATATCTTGATCATATCAGCGGCTGCATCCGCATAGCATCTCGTCTCGTCCTTGACGGAGAACATGCCGTTGAATCAGCCTCCCTTCGTTGGTGTTGATCTAGTGATAGACTTACCGTCCTACCAGCATAATCTACGAGCAGGAATCATCCTTAGGAACCTCGTGCAGTTTTTCCTTTTGCACTGTAGGACTCTTGTACCAACTGAAGTTGGCAGACTTAGAACGTGTTTGCATAGGTGCCTTAAAAGAGTTTAAAGAGTTATATGGTGGATGTAGATTGAGGTTGTGCGGGACTGAGATATTTATATCGATTTGTTCTCGTGAATATGTTGTTGTAGTCCAGGAACGACGTCGTAAGGATACTTACAGGATAGTTTTTCTGTAATTATTCCTTTACATTAATCGGCTATATTAATGGCAGTGATATTAGTCCATGCGTTGTGTGAACTTCGCAAACACGGTGATGACCACTCTGGCAGGGCCAACACGACAGCTGATGTACAAGATATATCCTGATTAGGGCACGAATTGCCCGGCACATCCAGTAACGCCAGCGAATACATGGCTCTACTGAAGCTTAATCTTGATCTGAGGCTACAGGTAGACAGGAATAGAAGATTGGATATAGAGGTATATGCAATAAATCAAGATTGATCGTATCATCATGCCAGTTTGGCGTCACGAGCGTTATGTCTATCCCATCAGCACCTATATACATACACATATACACAGCAACTCTGCCAGAGTGAAAGAAAAGAGAAAAGGCTTACGCAAAGTACTCATCAAACCTCTCCTCCGCCACCTTCTGACAATCAAATCCGTAAATCTCCCGCTGCACATCCGCATCCGCCCACTTATCCGGCACCGGGCCCTTACCCTGCCTCAACGCCGCAAACTGCCTGTCACGCTCCTCCTTGGCAGCGCCCTCACCCAGATGCAGCGCTCGACCCGATGCAGCCGCCAATTCGACGAGCGCATACGCGCGGTCCTTGCGCACACTTTCATAAACCTTCAGCGCCTTGGTGATGCTCTCCGGCGAGGGATCCGGCATCCGGCACAGGGCGATGGCGATCGTCGCGCCGTCCTCGATGGCCTGCGCAGCGCCCTGCGCCAGATGCGGCAGGGTAGGGTGGCAGGCGTCGCCGACGAGGGCGGTCTGCTCGTGGACCCAGGTGGGGAGGGGCTCGTGGACGCGCAGCTTCCACTCGCAGACTTCGCCTTCGGGGACGTAGTTGAGCATGCGCTGGACGAGGGGGCAGAAGTCGGCGAAGACGCGCAGCATGGCGGACTTGGAGCCCTTGGTGGTGTAGGTTGCGTTTGTGGCAGCGGCGAAGTTGGTGTCGGGCTGGGTGGTGGAGAGGTTGTAGATGGTGTTGTTGGAGACCGGGTAGGCGATGATGTGGCGGCGCTCGCCGATCCAGCGCGTTACACGGTTGCTGTTGATGAGCGCCAGCAGCTCCGGGTCGTCCTTGCACTGGTCTCTGTGGATCATGATGCGGTATGCGGCCTGCTGCGTGTCCTTGACGGCGGCGGTGATGCCCAGCTTCTCGAGCATGGCGATGCGCGTCTTGGACTTGATGCCGTCGGCGGCGAGGAGGACGTCAGCCTCAACCTGGTAGGGGGCGCTGCCGTCGCGGGGAATGGCTGTAAACGTAGCACGGGGGCCGAACGAGGTGACGTTCTCGGCGGCTGTGGAGAAGTGGAACTTGATTTGGTCGGGGTAGCGCAGACAGCCGTTGTACAGGCCGTTCGCCAGCGAGTGCCGGTGGCCGACCATGTGAGGGTATCCGTATGTTTCGCGGATGTAGCCGAGTTGAACGTGCGCGAGCTCAGAATCAGTAGCGCCGACTAGCCGGAGTGTAAGCACCAAGCAGAGCATGCAGTATGATATTAAACGTACCCCGCACACTTGTGTCCTTGACCTCTACAGCCTCAGCCTCGATCTCCTTCCACACGCCCAAACGGTCGAGCACGCGGGCCATGTTGGGAGCCAGTTGGATGCCTGCTCCAACGAAACCCAGATCGGCAGCGTACTCGAAGACGTCGATGTGCTTGAATCCTTCTTGGGCCAGTGCCAGCGCACAGGTCAAGCCGCCCATACCTGTCGCCGTTAGCGCCAATTTATTCGGAATTCTTGCTCTGATGCAAGGTTAAATACCTGCGCCGATGATGGCGATCTTGAGATCCTGAGGTGTCTGTGCCATGATTGAGGGGTAGAATGAGGCAAAGAGACACTCAGATGATGGACCAAATTCTTTGCGACAATGAACGCATCTCGAGCGAGTCTGATATCTTAAATAATAACCTTGTATTCAAGTTCATTCAGAACTTGATTATGGCGTGGATGATGATGGGTCGGTTGAAGTCTTTCCCGCGGGAACTCCCACAGTGTCCCACGTCCCACAGGGAAGATTATGGTTATTATGGATCGCTCTGCCAAAATTCTCGGTGGGGATTGGTGATTCACTGCTGGATCTCGGTTCTGACTGGAGTCTTATTTGTTCATTGATTCTGGTGCAGTCGGTAGTCAATGCAGATTGCAGGAAGTCTTATCCTCATTCCCCACGCCGGCAAATGTTCCCCACGGGGCGAATTTCCTCTTCTTCATCCTTCAACAGATTGACAACAGCAGTAGCTTTCTCGGAGATAGAGTCCTAAGTAGAAATCCAGCCCGAGCCTCGGATATAATTCGATTCTTTGCTCGGGAATTCCATTAATCCATCATGTAGGATGTATACACCCGGCATTATCATATGTTAATCACCATAGAATGAAGTATATAGCCTCAGATTCGAAGTAATCACACGAACTAAAGGAAATATCCGAACGTAGCTATCTAGGCCCCATACCTCCCCAGTACCTAGAACCCTCCCCATTTGGTTGATTCGCATTGCGGCACTGTGGATGCTCGTAATCCTCCACTGTGCCCATCGGCCATATAGGCACAACACAGATCTCATGGTCGCCGCATCCACTGCATTCCTTCCAGGTGGTCCATGATAGATACTCCATCAGATCGTTAATGTGCTTCACTGCCAGCCCGTAGTCCGTCTGGCCCCAAGCCTCCAGCAGAGTCGAGCAGATCGTCCGAGCAACGGACCGAACAGCCTGTGCAGCTACTCCTTTATCCGCACTGCACACGGACAGGAATTGCGTGCTACATCGATCTGCTTCGAGAGTAATGTTCCGGTCGCTGTAGTGGATAAATGGACTAAGGATGATCTCCAGCTCCCCATGCAGCTGCTCCGTAGTCGAGAGTTCCCCAGAAGCCAGGTACCGCAGCTCGTGTGCGTAGCGTTCAATCACCATATCTGTGACGGCCTGCCAGTCGAATGAAGGCTCACTCGCGTCGTGAGTCATGATCAACCGGTGTAAATCCATGCGGATGGGATCCAGGTCAGCAGACGACAGGTGTTGAAGTCGTGGTAGTCTATGGCCTCCCTCCGCCGAGGCGAAAAGGTCTAAGCCGTAGGTGTACGCTGTGACAAAATGATCGTAGTTCAACGCTACCCTGTGTCCCCCGATCCCATGGTACCGGGCCGCAATGGCCTTCAACCACCGGTTCGCTCCACCCGGTCCTCCAGGCCCCTTTCCCTTCTCGTTGCCCCGGTCAGGTTCGCGTCCAGGCCCAGCTCTCAGGCCACCGGGGCCATTACCATCAGGTTTCACCCGCACCACATGCAGCAAGTCCAAATCGCGAGCAAAATCACACAGGATAATCTCAAACCCAGCCTCCATACGGATCACCCCGTCAATCCGATCCTCCCATTCCTCCCTCGCCATCCGGCAGATCGTCTCCGCGCGCCGCTTTTCATCTCGCATCCCGCCCCCCTGTCCGTCATCCAGCGCATCCTGCAGCAAAATTCGATCCTGAGAGTCGAGCGTCCCGTTCGAGGTCTTGGCGGCAGACATTCCGTCGATATACACAAGTCGCAGATCCTTGGCAGCCGCGTATGTATGCAGCCAGCCTCCAGCATCGGGGTCATTGTAAGTCTCGGCAATCAGTCCCAGCAGCTTTTGGAACGCAGAGCCGCGTGGGCCATCAGAATCAGGACCGTCAGGACCGTCAGGACCGCCAGGGGGAGGCCCACGACCGTGTCCGGGCGGTCTCGCAAAGACCATCGCGTGTTCTGGTTCAAAGGCGAGCCATTCTGTCCCGGTCACTCGATCAGGCTGGTGCGTGCCGTGGTACAGCTGGGTACCTGCAGGCACGGAGGCGAGGAAAAAGGACATCCCATTGTGATGTAGAGACGAGCCCCATTGTCTCATTGATGAATGAATTGCGTTGAATATGTGGTTGGCGTTGTCAGGGAATTGCGCATTGGGCGAGGCCGTTGCCAGACTGGTGAGGAGGGCGAGAACGCCCGTGTACCTCATGATCTCGAATACAAAATCCCAAAAACATGACCGTGATCAAGTCATCCAGGTCTCTACATGACTCTTAAGAGAAAACGAGCTAGTCACAAGCGGAATTTTCAGATTGCGCCATCTTTCCAGCGCTACGAGCGGAAATAGGGCGACGACGCGTCAGCAGCGGGCGACGGCGACGTGCTCTTCTGGCCTCCTTACGACGACTTTTTTTCCTTCAGTCGCAGGATATAAAGCGTATGGACAGCCGATACAGTAGCAGCAGCAGTAGCAGCCCCTACTGCAGCAGTAATTGCTCTTACCAATGCTGCTGAACTTGCTGAACTTGCTGAACTCATCTTGCCTGCCTCTTGCGGTAATCAAAGACCTCAAATATCTCCCATCAATTTATACTGACGGACTAATCAGGTGATCTATCAACTTACTAAGCAATCATACACTTTTCGATCAGCAGTAGACTAAGAAGGACGAATTCAGCAGGCCTCCTTAGTTGCTAATATCAAGGGATTGCGTAGAATAAACCAGCATTATGCCATTGTGCCTGTTGTATTTCCGAGGGACCTGATATCGGAGTTGCTTATAACTAATTATTGGGGGGTGCCCACTATCTGATTAGTCATGCTGTACTATATCTCACCCATCACCAACCCAAAACAACAACACTCTCCACAACCAATTCCAAGTCAAGAAAAATCATGAGCCATCGCAAACCTCGAACTCTCCTCCTAACGCTCGACGCCTTCGGCACAGTCTTCCACCCGCGCCGCCCGGTCCCAGAACAATACGCCGAGGCCGCGCACGCCTTCGGCCTCCCCCGCTCAACCGTCACCCCAGACCACCTCAAAGCAGCCTTCAAATCGACCTTCAAGAGACAGTCGCAGACCCGTCCAAACTACGGCCGAGAGGATGTCTTGCGCGGCCGGTATGGCGGGCCACGGCAGTGGTGGGAGGAGGTCATCCGCGGGAGTTTCGCGCAGGCCCTGACGTCAAGGGGACAGGGGGGCAGCAGCGCAGTCGACGAGGACGTCGCCGTGCCCGCTGCGCTGGTGTCGCATCTTCTGGACCGTTTCGCGGGTAGTGAGGGTTATGCGCTTTTCGACGACGTGGCGCCATTTCTTGCGACGGTAAGGGCGGTTAAGAGCGGGCGTCGCGGGCTTGGGCCGTTTGAGCGCGTGCTTGTGGGTGTGATTTCGAATTCGGATGATCGGGTTCCGGCCGTGCTGAGGGCGTTGGGGTTGACGGTGGGTGATGTGCGGGCTGATCAGGGGGTGGAGAGTATGCGGCTGCCTGGGTTTGAGGAGAGGGATGCCAACCGCAAGAATGCATCTATGATAGATCAAGTGGATGATGTCGACCTGGTGATTACCAGCTACGAGGCGGGAGAGGAGAAGCCAAGTCGGGTCATCTTCGACGTGGCGAGGAGACAGGCTCGACGCTTGCTTGGGGACAAGGGCGAGGCGGGTGACGACTTGGTTTGTGTCCATGTTGGGGATGACTTTGACAAGGACTATCAGGCTGCCTTGAATGCTGGGTGGGATGGGTACTATCTTCCTCGGGGGGGCGTCGCTCATGACGCGCAAGGTAACAAGACTATCCACTCGCTTATGGATTTGATTCCAGAACTCGAAGCATACAGATGAACACGATATCTAGATCGTGACTACCCAAACGCAATGAGAATTATACTCAATGCAATTATTTCAGGTAAGTGCAGAATGCCTCAACATATTCGCCTCTAACATGACAAAGCTCCTTATGCTCATGACCACATGTACCACATTAATCATACTGAACATATGCATGCAACACCCGAGAGATACCAAAGGGTAAATAAATGAAAGCAGATGTTTTCTCAGTCAGAATCTATGTGTCTCAGGTTTTACCCTGAGTGTCCTTCAAAGTGACGATGCGATTCAAGACCACCTTGTCCGCCGTCGAATCCTTATCCACACAGAAGTATGCGGTCCGCATACCCTGGAATCGGATGGAGTAAGGGCTCACTTCGCCTCCCGTCTCACCACTCGTCTTGGGCCAGGGAGCCGACTTGGAGACATCGTGGAATCCAATGTCGATATAGGCGCCCTCATAGATCTCCTCGGAATCGGGGTTGATATCGGCCAGGAATCCGTCAGGATGGGCGTTGGGATCGTTGGACTTGAAGAGGGAGTTGAAGGCGCGAACTTCGGCCTTGACGGGGCTCTTGTGGGCGGCAGACTCGCCAACCCAGTGGATATACGTCTTGGTCTTCTTGGCAGGGGCGTCAGAGCCTTCTTCGGGCTTTTCGTAATGTGCGTAGACGCAGGTAACCGCGCCGGTCTGAGGGTCCTTGTCAAAGGTGGTCGCGGTGATAGGGAACGGCACCTTCAGAAGACCAACGGTCTTTCCGGGGGCAAGGCGGAAGTAGTCGGGCGAGTCCTCCTCACGGAAGTCACTGCGCTCAATGTAGACGGTCTTGGTGAAAGGCACGAGGTGGGAGCCGAAAGCCGGGTCCTTGGAAAATGGAACTTCCACCATCTCCTCATAGCCGTCGGGCAGGTTCGAGATGACGACCTTGAGGGGCTCGAGAACAACCATCAGACGTGGCACGGTAGTCTCCAGGTACTGACGGACGCTCTGGTCAAGCTTGAGTGTCTGGACAATGGCAGTAGCCTTGGTGACACCGAGGCTGTTGACGAAGGAGAGAATGGCGCCAGGAGGAATACCGCGTCTGCGGATGGCGATCAGCGTGTACAGGCGAGGATCGTCCCATCCCCGCACATAACCCTTCTTGACCAGCTCAATAATCTTACGCTTCGATAGCACGGTACCTGTAAGATTCAAGCGACCGTACTCGCGCTGCATTGGCCGATAAACATCCAGCTTGTCGTTGAGCCACTCATAAGACTGCCGCGACATCTCGAATTCAACCGTGCAAAGGGAGTGCGTAATCTCCTCGATACTGTCACAGAGAGGATGCGCAAAGTCGTACGTAGGATACATCTTCCACTGGCCACCAGTGCGGAAGTGGCCCTTCTCATTGACGTCCAGGATACGCCACGCAAAGATATCCCACATCTGGGGGTTAGGATCATCCAAATCCATCTTCATACGCAGCGCAGCCTCTCCCGCCTTGTACTTGCCTTCATTCATAGCCTCAAACTCCCGCAGCGACTCTTCAATAGGACGCGACCGGTGAGGGCAAGCATATCTCGCCTTGCCCCGCTCACCATCCGCCTCGCCACGCTGGGCTTTGATCTCAGCCTTGGTGCAGTGGCACACATAGGCACCATCTCGTCGGATAAGCTCCTTCGCGAGCTCATACAGTCGGTCGAAATTGTCACTAGCATTGGTAATCCGGACAGGCTTGTATCCCAACCAGCTCACAATATCCTCAATACCCCGATAGTACATCTCCTCCTCCCCCTCGGGGTTCGTGTCATCAAAGCGCAGGATGCATTCGCCGCCATGGTACTTCGCGAACCCGAAATTGACCGCAATCGCCTTGCTGTGACCGATGTGCAGGAAGCCGTTGGGCTCGGGAGGGAAACGGGTCCGAATCTTGGGGTGTTTCTCGGAGATGGGCCGTTCCTGGTATACATCGGCGAGGAAACCGACCTTGAACATGGCCTCGGGGTCGAGAGAGCGCAGGTCAACCGCAGCCTCTTTGGCGTTGGTGCCCTTGGGCTTGCCGCCTCCCTTCTTGCCATTGTTGTTGCTGTTGTTCTTGCCGTCGGGGTTCTTGGGTGCCTTCTGCTTGGGAGCTTTCTGCTTGGGTGCTTTGGCGGGCTTCTCCCCAGCGGGCTTTTCGCCTGCGGGGGCGGGGCTCTGCTCTGCAGGAGGAGCTGCCTCCTTTGGCCGCTCGGGAAGAGTAGTCTCTCCTGTTGACGCCATCGTTGGCAAAATCTGATTTTCCAATGTGTGAAGATCAGACAGACTGAGATAAGGAACAGCGCTGCTGAGGGGCAAAGCGTGCCTTTTTTGTTCGCGACGCCGATGATAAGTGGGTGGTCCGGACCGAGAGATTATCCGGGGGGAGTGAGTCAACCATGGTTCTGCCTGAGCCGTCAGGCACCGCACCTAGCATGCCGAGATGGAGATAACGGGAAGCGATGTCATTCGATCAAAAGACAATGAGATGAACTCAATTGCTGGGAATACTAGATTATCGCTAAACTCTTATCAAAGGCTATGTATGATATGCTCGTCCAAGACTCCAACCCATGACCTCGACCAATGAAACGCCAGGACAAACTCAGACCAATACACAGTAGCTACCTTGTCTCGGTACAATCTTTCATCACTCCCATCGTCCTGTTCCTCCCAGAGAACCCAGCCGGTTGCTGGCATGCTTGTTCAACAGAGCTGTAATGTTGGAGCCACCAGAGCGGTCCTTGGCCCGAATCTCACGCTCTCGCTCCCTCTCTCTTGCGGCAGTATAGTAATTGACCGCGCCTTTCTTGGCAACAGACGCTCCAACAGCGGGTTTGGTGACTCGCTTGGACGAGTTCGACTTGGATGACGTAGAACTAGAAGACGAACTGGTTGTAGTCTTGCGCAGCATGGGGGGAGGACGGAAGGTCAAGTCGTTGCCTCCACCGGCGAAGAATGCTAGACGGTTGCTGGAAGAAGCGGACGTGGCAGAGTTGGATGATGCTTGCCGGAGCAATGCAAGACGGTCAACAACTGGACCTCTTGTGCGGCGTGGATGGCCGGGGACAGCGAAAGTTTCCTTTGGTCGCTCTTGTGCTGAGCCGCTGTCATCTTCATCGTCATTCTGTGCCTCATCCACATCATCAATTGACGCATCTTCGTGGAAAGAGTCATACTCCGGCGTCTCGGTCAAGAAAGAGACGGTTTCGCGGATCTCAGCGAGAGTGGCGGGCTTCTTGGATATAGCGCTCGCTTGCTTGCGACGTAAATGAGGCGGAGGACGGTTGTTGATGTCTTCTGCTGAGGGTTCGAGAGGTCTCTTCCTCTTGTTGCTCTCGTCTGCGGCCGAATGTTGCTGTGGTGCGTCTGATGCTACACCTTGAGACGAGTCCTCCTGGGACCCGGGATCTTGCTCACCGTCCAAGAATTCGAGACCGATATCGTCATCCGAATCGCGATCCTCAATCGCCTTGAAGAACGCCGCTTTCTTAGGGTTCTCGGCGATCTCGCCGATCTTTTCATCGGCAAGAAGAGCTTTTCGCATTCGCGCAAACTCCCTTTGCTTTTGCCGCCGACGCGCAAGCAACTCATCGTCCGAATCATCGAGGTCGAATTCATCGTCTGCGTGTCTCCGGCGGCGGAGTGCACCGGTTGTGATATCTTTCAGCAGTTTGGCGACCTGCTTTTCATCCGCATTCCTCTGGTGGAGACTGTAACTAGGTCAGATTGTGAACATCTTCAGGCACGTCAATGCGGGAACGTACGCGTTCAGAGCAGCCAGCTGCTTCTCGTCCACCGTCTCTCCACTATTGTCATTGATCATCTGTCGATCGTAGGCATCTTCCTCGTCTTCACTGTCGTCACTAGCGCCTCCAAGACCGGCATATTCGTCATCGGATTCTTCGGCGGCATCTTCCACAACCTCCTTAGCCTTGCTGGTCTTCGGGTCAAATGGAATATGGGTCTTCTTCTTTGCTGCCTTTTTCATGACATCAAAAGCACTGGCATCGATCTCGAATCCTCCCTCGTCTTGCTCTTCAATCATGGACAGGTTTGCTGCTCGCCCACGCCGAAGGTGCTTCGCTCTCCTGTCAGGAACAGGCGTGTTGTTCCGGGATTCGTTCTGTCCCACAAGCACGGTTTCGATAGTTGAATGGGGGGTTTCCAGAAATCTCTTGGACGGATCAAAGGGTGAGAGTACAAAGCCGGCATCTTGCGTAGGGTCAGGGATTTGAGAAAACTGTGACATGGCTCTTGGTGCAGGGGACTCAGAGACTCGGGTCTCGGAGTGACTGTAACCTGCCAGTATGTCTGTCGATTCGGCGCGCTGCTCCTGGCTATCCTTGATGATGATTTGAGAATCCGAATCCCGGCGGTTGTGGGTGATTTGTGCAGGGTCAGGCAAAGAGTTCGGAATAGCCGGCGAGCCTGCCTGGGTAACTGGTTGACTGGCCCCAAGTGTACCAGCAAAAGCTTGTGTGAGGCTCATTGTCAGCCCGTCAGAGGTCATACCAGGGAACTGAGGCCGTTCCACGGAGTTTACTGTTGAATGAGTCGGCTTGGCCGGTGTTTGGGGTGCCTGTGGTTCATCTTCGTCCTCGTCATCGCTGATTACTCGAGTTGGTCGCTTGCGTCGCGCAGCCGGCACTTCCGACTCATCTGCCGACATGACTTCGGTCTGTTCGTCCTCGGACTCCTCATCCTCACCAGCTTCCGAGTCAATTACTCCTTGCTCGTGCTCTTCGTCGTCTTCATCTTCTTCTTCATCTCCCTCACCATCGCCGTAGCCTTCTTGATCAGAGCCGGAGAGCTCAAAGTCTTCGTCTTCGTCGTCATCCCCGTCCTCCCTTTTTTTGTTTTTAGACCCTCTCTCCTTCTTGGCAATCTCTTCAGCTTCTTGACGCGCCTTTTCGACAAGATTTTCAAGCTCATCTTCCAGAGCAGCACGCTCTTCGGCGGTCTCAATGATTACTCCCTTAGCCCGTAGCTCTTGTATCCTCTCCTGTCGCTCTTTGGCAGCTTGCTGCCTCGCCTGGAACAGAAGCATGGCCGAGAGTTCTGCCGTGTTCATAGTCTTACTCCGTCGAGTAGGTGAAGTAAGATGAGCCAATGCTTTCAGCTTGAGCATAGACGCTGATTCCTGCATCTTCTTTGCCGGGAGATTTTCGAACGCCGCGATACGCCTGCATTTGGCCGGGTCAGTAACGACCTCCAGATCGTCTTCTGAATCCTCCTGTTGATTTTGAGCGATGGACTGTCGGGACAGTCGCACGCGGATGGGAGGCTGCGTCAGAGCCTTTCGTTCGGGCTTCGCCGGCTCGACTGGTCTCTTGTTGTCGTTCCCTTTCACTTCCACACGTCCAACAGTAACTTGCTGAGGTTGGCCTTGCGATCTAGACAACATCTCATCGACCGTTGGGAAGTCTTCCTCCTCGAGCTCAGCACCACCTTCCTTGTTACTTTCATCCACAGCCTCACCGGACTTGAGCTTATCTGATGGACCAAGAACAGGGGAAGTCTGTGGCGTCTCTTTAGCTTTCTGGGCCTCATTATCCGACGATTGCTGAGATCCAGCCGTCGTGGACGAATTCTCCCCTGTCTGTCCTGCGACATTCGACTCCTCCTGCTGCATGAAGTTGAATCGCGCAAAGAAACTCTCCTTGGTGATCTTCTTCTTTGTTTGCGCCTGATGAGCCAGCTGCATGTTCCTGCTGATCCTCTGCGTTTCGCGATTCATCTCCTCCAAAGCTTTTTTGCTAGCCTTACGAGCAGCAGGCCGCTTCTGTGTTAGCTTCCGTCCACCTTCTTCATCATCACTATCCTCCACTGAAGCAATTTCCGAGCTGAACTGATCCCTCTGCGCCAGCCGGGCGGCCTTCTTCTCCGCTTCGAGACGTTCCCTCTCTTCGCGCTCCTTCCGCTTCTGCATGATGAGCGCGCGAACGCGAGGGTCGGCCTTCAAATCCTCTTCGTCGTCATCGTCCGCCTCGTCGTTTGGAAGCGCGTCATTACGTTGCGGCGCGGGAGAAGACATGAACAAAGGAGAGAAGGACCTAGCGCGAGATGGCGAGCGAGACGTGTTGTCCTCGCCGGGCTCCGGTGTCTTCCTTGCATTGCGCCTCCTCCTAGGGCCAGCCGTAGGAAGATCATCCTCGTCCTCCGAAGCAGAAGCAGATTCATGACGCGCTTGCTCGCCTTCCTTTGAGTGTTCTCTTTCGGCTCGTAAGAATTTGGAGACACGGTCGAATGCCGTTTGTCCCGTCACTGGCGGACTGGTGCTTGTCTGATTCTGAGCTTGCATACGAGCCGCTAGCCGGCCCTTGGGCATCACAATGTCGTCGTCATCGTCTTCTTCGCTTTCAGCATCATTCATGGTTTCATCTGACTTGCGTATCGTTCGCTGATTGCTGCTGCCGTTATCTGGCTCTGAATCGCTATCGAATGCAGCCAGGATGGCTTTGATCTTTCTTCCTGGTGTGAGGACCGGTGTGCCACTCTCAGAGACGGAGCGCGCCGTCCGCGGTGTAGACGGGGATGACATGGTGTGTTCGGTGTAACTATATTATAGTGTCCATAGCAAAGATATCAATAGGTTATTGATGAATTTCCGTGAAGCCCGTGATAATTGCTCCACATCGAAGTAGGAGGGTGTACGGAGTATGGTGTCAAGCGACAATGCGAACCCAGGGCGGAGATCGTCCCATTCTGCTTGTGTCGGCGACGCGCATCGCGTCCAAGCGCGTGGAGCACGGTCGTGTTATCAGCACGTGACATTCGATAAGACACTGTGGATTCCTGATTCAAGCTATAGGAGCAAAGAACGCAGACTCAATTGGCCCTTCCAAACCAGCGATATGCTGCTGGAACAGCGCTGGTGTCAACTGTCTTCGTCCTTGCGGCGCGACTGAAAATGGACAAAAGCCTCTGTCGAAAGCTGTAGACCTGAGGTCACGATTGTTATGTATAGCATGGATAGTCGTCCCCAGATAATTGATCTCTGCGTCCCACTGTGTATCATCTGAGACGTACAAACAGCAAACGCTGGCGTTCTGTTCCACTCTCAACTCTTCTTTCAATTTAGACACAGAGATGCTGATTGCATCTGTAATGTTCAATGGTTTCTTGGTGATAGATACAAATTCCCATGCTAGGTGTGGTATGACGCCAATGTTTAAAGCCCGCCCGTAGTGACAAAAATACAGATACCGACGCTGATCTGATGTAACACCTGCCTATGTTCAATCAAAAAGTCATGTCCGGTTCAAAGTCTTCTTCATAAGCTATCCTCAGAGATATAGCCAAGCCTTAACCTGTTCGCTCATCGTGCTCTTCCGGCAATGAAAGTTATTGCCATGATGATGGATGTGGTCACAATCAAATTTCAATATCCAGCTCTAAATCCAGGGCCGCAATATTCTCGTCATCCATATTGCGGTGACGGATCGAGGCAATCCCACCCTTCGACTGCTTCTTCTGTGTAGAGACGGCCGGCTTAGGCGTACTGGCCTTGGACGGAGTGTCAGACCCTGTCCCAGGAGTCCCGCCACGGCTGGCAGTTGAGTCCGGTATCAGGCTATTCCCGTTGGCATCGTAATGGGTCTTGGCAAGGGTTCGAACACGCATGAACGGATTGGCTTGAGCTTCACCACGAGCGACTGCTGCAGCGGCTTTCCGACTCGCCTTTCTCTCCTCGAGCTGTGCACGACGCACACTCTCGGTGTTCAGTTTCTGATTGCGCAGGTTCAATTCGGCGAGACGCTCATAATCCGACTTCTCCGTGCGAGGTTTCGATGGTTGGGTGCTGAAAGCGAGCTTTGGTCCCGTCATCTCCGCCAGCTCCTTCTCCAATCGCGACACCTCCTCATCGTCACCAGCAGCTCTGGCCAACTTCAACTGCTTTTCGGTTTCAAGGCGCTTAAAGGTGCGCATCTTGTTATCCAGTGAGCCTTGTTTGCGCAACTTCTCATTCAGTTCTTCCTTGGTGAACTGGTGGTTGATTAAACGGTTAATGTCTGCTACTTTCTTGGCAAGCATTGATTTGGTGGCCATCTTGCAATCTTCAACTGCCATGGTCTGGCGGTAGCGACTGAATTCCGCCTGGAAGGCGTTAGTATAATGACGAGGGCTTCAGGATTGAGGAAATGAAAAGGTACCTCGGTAAAGGGTGAATCAGAGCAAGCTATGAAAGGGAATTCGCGCTCTGCTTTCCCATGCGCCAAAACAGCGTACTGGTTTGTCACAAACGACCGACCGTTCGGGCTTTCCATGGCGTAAGGTCGTCCCTCTGTGAATCCTGGAATGGGTCAGTACGACGAGACTATAGGTGCAGTTAGAATCGAGATAATTCGGTCACATACTCTTGATCAAACATAGACGATATTCGTTGATACCAGTATCTCTGTTCGGTCCGATATTTACTCGAGCATAGCATCCGGAAATGGCTTCGTCGAATCCAGGATAGAAGCAAACTTGTGCGAAATTGGTACGTCCCACGCGAGCGCGTTGAATATCACGAAGGTCCGCAGGCGGGTCATCCTTGGGGGGAGACGGGGAGCGCTCGCGATTATCCCACTCGACCTCGCTTTCCCCTTCAGCATCCTTGTCCGACGGTGCTTCGTCCTTTGTTGGAGCTGCTTCACCAGCAGCCATATCACGACGACGAAGCTCATCGCGCTTGCCCTTCTTCTCACGCTGACGCTTGTATGCCTCAATAGCCTCAGAAGCCTCGCCAACTTTGCGCCCGCCAAGTGTGGTCTTCTGCCGTGAGCTCTTGCGCTGGCCTTCTTCCAGATCCGCCACGCTTGCCTTTCGCTTGGACTTCTTTACCCGCCGGGCCTCATCACGTTCACGAGATGCTAAGAGACGACGAAGGGCCAGGTCCTGGTTGCGTCGGTCGACCTCTTGCGCTCGTTCAGAGAGGATCTGTTCACGCTGGATTTCTGGCAACGCCATGATTTCCTCTTTGTCTTTGGCGGAGTAGTAGAGTTTTTCGTAAGGAAAGATAGGGCGATCGTCTTCAGCATCCTCACTTGCTCCCTCAGAATCGGAGGCGGCGTCAGATTCGGACATGCTGGCGGACTCGAGTGAATGGTGAGATCCAGCGTCAGACCTGATGGGGCCAGCGTTGTCAGTTCCTAGCCACCTCACATAAAGGACAAACTGAGGTCAAAATGAATAAGAAGACAACGGCAAACCTACACTTCGCCATCCTCCTCATCGCCCTCGTCATCATTACGCGACTTCTTGCTCCTTTTAATCGGTTTAGCCGTTCCTTTCCGCGCCATGGCTGATGATGGAGAAGCCGAACGAGCAGGAGATTCAGATTTCTGCTTGGGAGGAGGTGATGACTCCTCGTCAGAGGAGTCGCCCGCTAGAGCGAGCAGCTCGGCATCAAGATCGTCCGCCATAGTGAATGTCGGGCAAAACTTTCACTGAAAACCAGGTGCCGTATGACTCAAAAATAGAATGGCTGGCGAGCGCAAGCAGAGAACAGCCGATTCGAGTAGGCGACAACCCCCTAATTCACCGTCGCAATTCACAGCGAAGACCTCAGCGACTCGGACCTAGGGATTCGAACACGGGTACCGATATATAAATTAATCAAATAAATGGCTAGGGCGGAGCCAGTGTATATAGCAATCTCGCGACAGAAAAGAAAGCCCAAGCAGGTCGCGAGAATGGAGGTGGGTGGCGGATTATTAGAGAATAATGAAGAGGACGGATGGCCTTGAGGTGAAGAGAAGCGATCGGACGGAGTGCATGGCGGCATCCGCACGATTTGGTTCGTCCATGACGTTCCGGCCCCAGGGACCCGAAATTGATGCCTTGCCAAGAAGGCCGCAAGCGCGCGTCTGCGGGCCATGTTGGACCACCTCGGATATCCAGTGTATAAGTGTCTCATGCTGCCAATGTTTGATAAATTTGTCCACTCGATTGTCTCTTAACGCTATTACTCGAGTATCTTTTGATCTTGTTAAACCACACACAGAATGAATTCATTATCTTCCTTTCGAAGATGCGTTCTCAGCCGATCCCCTCGGTCAGCATCTCCGTTGATGCTCGACTTTCTCGCTCCGTCGATTTTGCGCCAGAGTCGGCCCCGGCACAGCAGTACATCGGCATGTAGTCCTTCGGATGGTGCTCAGAATACCTCTCAGGATTCGGCCGCTGGATCCTCGAAGCCCACATACATTCTGAGCAAGAAACAACGACAGTACCTGGATAGCGCACTCCGAGTCAACCAAGCCGGCGAACTTGCCGCAACGCTCATCTATACTGCGCAAACACCTCAGGTCGTGCGCTCGCATCCCCACCTCCGACCCCTTATGAGACACATGTATGACCAAGAAGCCGGACACTTCTCGACATTCAACAAACTTATTGCAAAGCACCGGATTCGCCCGACGGCCATGTATCCGGTTTGGGAAGTAGCAGCGACTTTCTTGGGGTGGTCGACGGGAGTCATGGGCCGGGAGGCGGCCATGGCTTGTACGGAGGCAGTCGAGACGGAAATTGGGTCTCATTACAACGACCAAGTGCGGGAGATCTTGTCATGGGAGGCAGACGCGAAGAGCCGGGGAGAAGAGCTCGATGATGAGCTAAAGGAGATGCTGGCAACATTCCGACGGATTCGTGATGAGGAGCTAGAGCATTTGGATCATGCCGTTGAGAACGATGCCAAAGAGGCGCAGCCTTATGATCCTTTGGTCAATGTGATCCGCTTGGGCTGCAGAGCAGCCATCAAGATCAGCGAACGGGTATGAAGAGATGGCTAGCCACTTTTATGGCCATCGTTGCTTGAGGTTCATCACCTTCGGCCAATTGTGCAATATGATCGCAACTTGTACTATACTATCCGGGAGAATGGAGACATTCATGAAGGTTCGGTGCGGCAGGTTTGATTTTAGGACTCCAAATTCCTTTTAAGTCATATATTGATCGATCATATCTATAAGTTATCGGGTATCACTCAACATGCAAGAACGCAGTATGCCATCCTCAAAAGATTAGGAATCACTCCTCAACCTCGGAGTCCTGCTTCTTCTCCAAATACTCTACAAACGACTTGGAAAACCGCACAACCTGTTGATAAACCTCCTCGAACCCGTTAACACCGCCATAGTAAGGGTCCTGCACAACTTCTCCTCCACCAACTCGGCCATGGAGAACACCGCCCGGCCCAAAATCACCAAACAGCCTCACCTCGGCAAGCTTCGCGCCGGCATCTCCGCTCGACGCCCGGGTACCCTTGGCGCCTCCGGACTTCCGCAACGAAGCAACAACCGATTCGCGCACATCCAGCAAATCTCGCAAGTTGTATTTATCCATCGCGAGGAGGTAGTCAAAGTGCAAAAAGTCATCTTTGGTGATCTTCCGCGCCGCGTGGTCGTAGTCTGTGATGCCGTGGCGGCGGAGCGTGGACATGGTGCGCGAATCGGGGGGCTCAAGGGTATGGTAGGCTCCTGTGCCTGCAGAATCGATCTCATTGATCAATGGATGGGTGCTCGCCATGTTGCGGAAGACTCCTTCTGCCATGGTGGAACGGCCTGGTGAGGGGGATATTAGATTGGAATTTCGAGGTGACGGGCGGAACTTTCGTGCTTACAGATATTCCCCAGGCAGACGAAGAGGACATTGACTTTATGTCCGGATGAATTGGACTTGGAGGCGGTCATTGCTATCGTTATCTGATGAGAAGTTCCTTGGTGATTGAGCAAGGACTGTGACCGGAGCATGTATGCATCCCCGATTAAAATGTTGCAGACCCCGCCACAGCGATAAGAATTCTGCCGTTTTGCACCGCCTTCAGCCACAGGGCATTCTTATTGAACATCCATTGGTTCAATAGAGACTTAGAGTAATGCATAGAATGACGAAACTTTTGGTTGATATGGAGCTGCGAGAAAGATTGTTCCCGATGTAACAAGAACACTGATGCCTAAGCTACTGGGACGAGCAAAATTTGCAATTGTGGTTCAAGAAAACTTGCGCTGGGGCTGTATAATATGTCCAGCGGCATGTATATTCCTGCTAATTCATGATTATGTTTAAACAAATAGGGACATTTCCGAGAATCCAAGTGTCTGTGACATTTATTCAAACAACCATTACCTCTCGTACGTTCACCATATTTACGTCGTCGAATAATGAGACCAATTTCTTCAATGCAACTAGTGATAAGTTCCAGTGTGGCACACGTTTATTTATAGAGAGCTGAGCCATAGGCGGGCACACTGGGGGGTGTGGCACTGTGGCAGTGACAGGCACGCCGGTTTCCCGTTGGCCCAGTGACCAAGGATTACTACCAGTCTCTCCACTATAGCCCATGGACCCAGGCAACGATATCCACGGCTTGATTGATGAATCGAAGTCGATTTTGATGGTTGGATCAAGGGGAGGGATATACGTGCAAATCAATTTCTACAGCGGCATAATACATCGTTCAGATGTGCAGATTTCTCCTTAAGCAGGGACTTAATAGAAGCCTTCTACTATAGACGAAGGATAAGCATATCAGATAGCTGCGTCACTTTGCGGGGCGTGCTCCGTAGTCTAAGTAAACAGTGCACCTTTTCGACTCCTCGTCATCAAGGTATTATTCTCCCGGATTTTAACACCCAAGAAGTGATCGTCCGTCTCTTCGGTTCCTTGGTCAACGAAGAAAAAAAGCCTACCAAGCAAAGCCTCTTTTCCTTCATTCTCAGCTTACAACTTTTACATCTCCTTCTCGTCCTCCCCCATCCCCGTTCTTTACAGCCACCGCTAGTGGCGTCGCAGGGTTTGCGCTCAACAGGCAGCAGTTGACAGATGAAAAAGCACCTTTATTCGCTCAGCATCCTCGATCTCTTCATTTCCTTCCCTGTCATCTGTCTTGGAAGTCGCCAAATTCCCCGCAAGCCCCAACAAATTATCGAGTGACTGGGCGCCTGACCTCATTCCACCCACGTTCTTGGCGCATTCCCAATCAGACACCCCTTGCCAGGAATACAAAGGGGTAGCTCATTCAAACGATCAATATCCGGAGATCCTACCTCACAATGTCCTATAATCGCTTAGGTCAGTCAATAATTTTGTTTTGGACCGTGTTACGCTGTTGTTATTGCAGGGCTGCGGGATCCGTCGCATCTCCGCATCCACTGTCTTTCTGAAACATTGCCCCCGATAAAGCGACTTTGACGAGATTAGCCTCCATTGGCGCTTGCGCAAGCTGTCTGGCGATCATTCTGCAATTGTTTCTGCCTGCCATTTCATATTTTCTTTTAACACTGGTTATCACAAGCTCAATTCGGTAGCCATTCCAACTAACATTCGAGCCCTGTAGACCACTACGGGGAGGATGGCAATCGTTCTCCCAGCATGAACCCTCATCATTTGGACGATCGAACGGCGTCGCCTGGCCAGCCTTTGAACACTTACCAGCTGTCGGATAATCCATACGTGCATGACCATTTGCAGATGCCTTCCAGCGACCGTCTAGCGGAGCAGCCAACTGTGAGAACACCATTCCAGTCGAAGCGATTGTGACTGTTGAGATTGACACGAGATACTAGTACTCGGTAGAACGAATTCCCAACTCCTACGGTCACAATGAAGCCTACGAGCAACATCATCCCGAGCAATATCCCGGCTACGAATATGCTGTGAACCCGGAAGCTCATCACGACGCATACTATACTCATCCTTACGAGCCAACTGTCACGCCGCAAGATGATTATGATATAGGACAGTATCACGAGCAACAACAGCCTTACCAAGATGACCGAGTGCCCATTTTACAACCTGATAACCCGTTCGGTCCAGACCCGTACAGTGATGAGTACCATGACGACCCTTCGGCTGCGCCCACTCCGAGCCCGGCGCCAATACGACGTTGGAAGACGGTTAAGGAAGTACAACTCTTCCACGGTAACCTGGTCCTGGACTGTCCCATTGCGCCGAAGCTGCTCAGTCAAGTTCCTCATGCGGAACCCCCTGGTCGTGACGAGTTCACTCATATGCGCTACTCGGCGGCAACCTGCGACCCCGCTGATTTTTACGACGAGCGATTTACACTGCGCCAGAAACTGTTCGCGAAGCCTCGACACACCGAGCTTTTCATCGTCATTACCATGTACAACGAGGATGACTTCCTTTTCGCTCGAACATTGATCGGCGTGTTTAAGAACATCGAGTACATGTGCAATCGGACGCAAAGTAAAACCTGGGGCAAGGACGCATGGAAAAAGATTGTCGTTTGCGTCATCAGCGATGGTCGTGCCAAGATCAACCCCCGGACACGGGCTGTGCTGGCCGGTCTCGGTGTGTACCAGGATGGTATCGCGAAGCAGCAGGTGAACGGCAAGGACGTGACAGCACATATCTACGAGTATACTACGCAGGTCGGTCTCGAGCTCAAAGGAACTCAGGTACACTTGAAAGGGCGCTCTGGCTGCCCAGTCCAGATGATTTTCTGCTTGAAGGAAAAGAACCAGAAGAAGATTAACTCGCATCGTTGGTTCTTCCAGGCCTTTGGCCGTGTATTGGACCCCAATATCTGCGTGCTTCTGGACGCAGGAACGAAGCCCGGACGAGACTCCATCTATCAGCTATGGAAGGCTTTTGACGTTGAGCCCATGTGCGGAGGAGCTTGTGGCGAGATCAAAGTCATGCTGTCGCATGGCAAGAAATTGCTCAACCCGTTGGTGGCCGGGCAAAACTTCGAATACAAGCTCAGCAACATCCTGGATAAGCCGCTGGAATCAGCATTTGGTTTCATTTCGGTTCTGCCTGGTGCTTTTTCTGCGTACAGATACGTCGCGTTACAGAACGACAAGAACGGCCAAGGTCCACTGGAGCGCTACTTCATGGGTGAAAAGATGCATGGCGCCAATGCCGGTATCTTCACGGCCAACATGTACCTGGCCGAGGATCGAATTCTGTGTTTTGAGATTGTGACAAAACGCAACTGCCGCTGGCTCCTGCAATATGTCAAGTCATCGACCGGTGAGACCGATGTGCCTGATCGAATGGCGGAATTCATTCTACAACGGCGCCGATGGCTGAACGGAAGTTTCTTTGCTGCCGTTTATGCGATCGCCCATTTCTACCAGATCTGGCGGAGCGACCACAGCTTCATGCGCAAGTTCATGTTGTTGATTGAGTTCATCTACCAGACTATCAACATGATCTTTGCATGGTTCAACATTGTATGTACCGTCTTCTTATTGGCAGGATGAGCCAATGCTAACGTGAATCGCAGGGCAACTTCTTCTTGGTCTTTCATATTCTCACCACCTACCTTGGTGACGCTGATCTTCTCGGGACAACAGGTAAAGTCCTGGGTGTTGTCTTCGAGTGGCTCTATCTTGCGACCTTGGTGACCTGCTTCGTTCTGGCCCTCGGCAACCGTCCCGGCGGCTCAAACAAGTTCTACATGACCATGGTCTACTTCTGGATTGGCATTATGATCTACCTGACCTTTGCAGCAATCTTTGTGACCGTTAAATCTATTCAGAAAGAAGTCGCCGATAATTCGTTCACCGTTGGGCACTTGTTCAGCAACAGCCAATTTTTCTCGATCTTTGTCTCCTTGGGGTCGACTTATGTCATGTGGCTTCTGGCTTCAATTATCTTCTTCGACCCCTGGCACATGTTCACCTCCGTAAGTTCTCTTCCGAACATTGGCGATATGGGAGTCTGACCTATATCAGTTTATTCAATACATGCTGCTTACGCCAACGTACATCAACGTGCTCAATATCTACGCCTTCTGCAACACCCACGACATCACATGGGGTACCAAGGGAGACGACAAGGCCGAAAAACTGCCTTCAGCCAACACGAAACCTGGCGGAAAAGTCGATGTGGATATTCCCCAGGACGACGGAGATCTTAACGCGCAGTATGAGGCGGAATTGGCCAAATTTGCACAGAAACCGCCCAAGGAGACCAAGGTCATTTCGGAAGAGGAACGTCAGGCCGACTATTACAAAGGATTCCGAAGCGCGGTCGTGCTCGCTTGGGTGTTCTGCAACTTTGCCCTGGGCGCTGTTGTGCTGAGCGCTGCTGGTCTGAACCGGTTCAACGCCGACAAAAGTGCGACAGATGATAACAGGGCCACGATCTACATGGCTGTTGTGCTTTGGAGTGTGGCTGGTCTCTCGATATTCAAATTCATGGGGGCGATGTGGTTCTTGGTCGTTCGTATGGTATGTTCAAGGCATTTCGACGTTTTGCATTCTGGTTTTCAGGCACTAACCATTCGTACAGTTCCGAGGCGTTTGATGTTATTTCTCTATCCTTTCCTTCCCATGCGATGTATGCACCCGGCTCTATACTGACGTTTGGCCACGATACCACTGCGGGCTCAGTATGGTACCTTGGATGACGAAGACATGTTTTATGATATGGAGCGGTCAATGATGCTCCTGATGTTTATTTGTTTGATTCTGCTTCGTTGAAAGACGATTGCGACGTACGATGTAGATACCATTTTGTTCGGGAGGGCATACAGGGCATCATACAACGTGTGGTGTTGCGTTAAGTATGGGTTGTGTAATCATTATTCTTATATTGTACTTGAGATATAACATCTAGACAATGACTTATGCTGCGCTCTCACTCACTATCCTTTCATCTCTCTTTGATCTATTCTTAAGGCCGGATGTTGGCGTCTACTCTCGGTCTCCTCAGACTCCATCCTAGCCCCATCGTTGGAGAATATTATCGGCCCTACGTATGATTTTATCCTGTGTTATATCCTCGACCCTATTGCTGACAGACTCTTCCCTGCTTCACTTATGCTTGCCCTGGCTTGTGTTATTGCTCCCTGCTTCTGATTGCGAGGATTCGTCTTTCCTTATTTCTAACCTAGCTTTAATCTTGAACGCGGTTCTGTTTTGATGAGGAGTAGAAAGTTTAATAAAGGCAAAGTAGGAAGGGTATCCTAATAAGAAGCATCATTGGTCTAGTGGTAGAATTCGTCGTTGCCATCGACGAGGCCCGTGTTCGATTCACGGATGATGCATTTAATTTTTTTGCCCGCCATTCTCACTCGGTGATTTTATCTTGAATAGATTTTAGATTACTGCGATTTTTTTACTGCATTTCACTTATACTGGACTATGGCTAACTAACTCAGGTTCTTCGAGTGCACACATATCCCAATGCCGCCCAGGACAAGCGCCATCCCCAACCATGTCTCTTTCTCAATGACCTTGCGCTCAACATACCACTCCCCGAGGACGGTGAAGAGGAATGCACTCGAATTCGCCAATGGAACAGTTAACGACAATTCTAAGAAATATCAGCATGGACAACCATAATGAAAAAATAGAGAGACACAAAGTGCGTGAGAGGGAAGACAAACCATGCTTCCCAACCAACAAAAAGAACCAAACACTTCCCGTCAAATTGATAACAAGCGGGATGGAATACGCCGGCGTGCGGAGGAGATTAACAACCGTCCAGAAGACCGTCACGATCTTGGTCGGGAGCCATGAGGATGTCGATTTTGGTTTCATCCACGCCGGAACAGGAGTGCTACTTCCTGCATCTGCAGCTGCAGCTGTTCTGGAACGCGCATTCGACGTGAGAGGCTGGTCCTCCTCTCCCGATTCCTCTTCAGATTCCTCTTCTGGGCGCTCTTCGGTTTCGTCTCCATTCTTTGTGGCGCTGGTTGCCGTGGGGCTTTGATCCTGTAGCTCCGTCGTAGACTGCGCTGATTGCGTCTCCGGCACCGTCTGTGCCTGGGATTTCTGGTGTGCTTCCTGCCGTGCGTTAAAGTCCGCTGCGGCGCGTCGGATGAATGGCGTCGTGAAGCCCCATGCTACTCCGACGAGGAGGAAGGAGAGGACGTAGTTGAAGACAGATGGCTCATCGACCGGTACGCTTGCGTCGGGATCCATTTCCCACGTAGGTTCCTCTGTTGGGATGAGCTAATGATGGGAAGATAAGAGGTGGGTGACAGCTGTCAGGGGTGTTGCTTGACGGGATCGGGGATAAGATGACGAACGGCAGAGATGCGCCGCTTTGGTGGATCTGATAAGATAAGGGGTACACACAGAATATGCATCCATCTACTCCGTACAGAGGAGCTAAACATCTGATAAAAATCAAGGACGCCATGGCTGCCATCTCAGTCATCGCAATTAAGAAGAAATAGAAAGAAGTTGCATTAATGCTAATATCGGGACATGAGGAAATGATGGTCCAGTCTTCCCCATGGAATGATCATGACTATTGGCTTAGCTGTCGCCTTGTACGAGCACACCATACTCTGCAACCCAGCAAATCAGATAAAAAAGAGCCTCTCTGGTATTCTACTGCAAGATAAGCCAGAGTCAGGCCGTAGAGAATAACAAAGAGGCAAAAAAGAAAAAGAAACGTCAGCGATAGGACTCGAACCTATGCGGCCGAAGCCAAGTGATTTCTAATCACTCCCCTTAACCACTCGGGCACACTGACTGTGCTGATGGTAGCGTTGTCCTATTTTAACTCTATCAGCCAAGTGAAATAATAAGGTTCTCGTATAGTTGCCTTCGATGGCATATTCCGCGTAGGCCCGAATACTGGGGTATGCGCCAGTGAAGATCGACCCTGCTGCCGTACCTGCAGGAAAATTGCAGGAGGATCAGCGGCTAGACGATGATTGTGGCGCAGAGACAACCGAGAATGACAGGCTTGTATTGCTTGAGCCTCGGTAAGCATAGCACAGGCTACATGATATTCAGACACGAGCAGCGCATACCGCTTGAAGTATACCCACTGGCTAATACATAGACTGCCACGCCACCGAAACGGTCACATCGCCATGGTCATGTGTGGACCATATACGGCAAGACATTGGGCGCAATTTGGAACTATACGCAAATGGGCGCTTCAGTTGTCCAAGAAGCCACCTCAAAACGAAGGAAGATAAGGTATATCAATTCCTGCTCGTCTCTACCGATACAGCTTGGAAAACTCCCCGCCCTCCGGAGGCTGGAGCCAGTTCCTCTCATCATAGTCCCATCCATCCGCACCCTCAATGACATGGAATGTATATGCAAACCGGCTGCGCGGGCTGGTATTCTTCTCGCTCATATGCAGCACATTCCCATGAATCAGCACCAATGACCCGGCCTTGATATCCAGAATCTCCAGATCCTCATCCTTGACCTCTTGGCCCTGGTCCTGGCCGTCTGCCTCGGACCCTCTCGGCATCTCCGGCCCATCATTCTCCACAAACTCCGTCCCAACAACCTTCCCATTTTCCCCAATCTTCCTCACAAACCGCCGCTTGATCCCCTGCCGATGCGAACCCCTCCACATCCCCAGCGTCGCATTCCCACGCCCCGCATCCTGCAGCGCAAACCACCACCCCACCGCCGACGGCGGCCTCGTATACAGGAACTCCGAGTCCCGATGCGGTGGCACCGCGCCCCCGATCCCGGGCTGCTTGCAGATCACCATACTCTGCAGCACGCGCGGGTCCACGAACCCCAGGGATTTGGCGATGGCGGCATTGCGCTTGCTCAGCGAGACTTTCTCGAAGGGCGGGGAGAGCGAGTGCAGCGCATGTCCAATCTTGTTGATTGCTTGCTGTTTGGGCTTGAGGAGGGTGGGTTTGCCTGTTGCGGGGTCGGGGGTGGAGAAGGCGTCCGGTTCGAAGAAGAAGCGGATCTTGTCGCCGGAGTTTAGGAAGTAGTCATCGCCGACGTGGGGGTCGTTCTTGTTAGTTTCGTCGTCGCCCGTAGTGAATTTGGTGAGGGGGTGGGATTCTAGCGGGAAGTCGTCGAGAAGTCTGTTTGTCTCGGTTAGGAGGGAGCTGATGTCCTCCGGGGAGAGGAAGTTGGGGATGACGAGGTAGCCGTTCTCACGGAAGAAGGTGAGTTGAGAGGGGGTAAGGCCTTCCATGGTTTAGACGTAGAGATCGATTGCTGGAAAAAATAAGAGGGAGAAAGGTGGAAGAGGTGGGATGAGTTGAGGGGGAAAATGCGGGGGAAATGATGTTTAAATAGTGGCCTTATCAGTATCAGTCGGATATGCCCGAGCTGATCAATGATCATGACAGGTTGACACCAAATAGCAAGATAGAATATGAATCAATAGCATTGTTCAATTTGTAAATACCATTAGATGTGTCGAAACCCACAGAAACCCTCTGAGCCCTGCCTCCCAGCCTCTCTCATGGTATTTCTGCATGCCCACATCAAAACTCATAACATATTTCCTTTCTGGGCTGGGATCAAGAACGTCACATACAAAATATTAATGCCACTCCCCCTGGGTCCTATTTCCGCGTGCGAATAAGAAGCTTATAATCATCTTCCTCAACACCCTACGCTAGCCATACTGAAATATTAGCATGTTTAGCTCTGAGACAATCCCAAATTCAATCAGAAAGCCAGTAGCATGGTCGCTGAAGGCATCACCGTCATATTATATAGTAAGTGTTATTTCTATATTTTTTTGACGTTTGCAAAGATAATATGTTGCGCCTGCCCGTCACTGTGCAGTAACCAATTGCATGTCCGTTAGTAGCTATGATGGTATGATGCTGTATGCTGAATGCATGGAGTTTTGTCCACTCAGTTTACCATGTCGTCGTAACCCCAGGCAATGGGCATATCAGGATAAAAGTATTTGACAATGCCCCTGGTGAAGCCTTATGTCTCTGGCGAGCAATAAGAAAGAGCCCTCCTTTCAACAGAGTGTTTGAAACAATGTCTTCAGATTGAGAGGAGGTTCCATGAGAATCGACTTCTGTGAGGTTCTGCAAACGGTCCCGAGGTTTCGGCGGGAACTGCTCCCCCAGTCCGTCTTAGAGAAGGAACCGAATCATCAGACATTGCTAAGGAAAATGGCTGACAAGGGGACCGCGCAGGTAGCAAGGACAACGTGTGGAAAGCCGAGAGTGAGAGCGGCTTTTACGACATGATCAATCAATAATTGCTCATCTTTCAGCACTGTGTACATGAGATCGGTGTTGCAGGAGTCAACCGACCCCTGAGCAGAGGAGTAAGGGAGTCGGGAGGAAGCCATCACCAAGCTAATAGGACTGTCTCATTGATTGTGTGTCCATTAAAACACACCAATCATGTCCATTAAAAACACATCGATCACTAGGTTCCGGCATATACGTAAGATAGCATAACCTCTTTAAATTTACAGTTAGATGATGCTCAATAATCAGACTGTTCAGTTGAAAGCTTAATCACTCACATGGCCAGCCTCGCCTTTGACTCAACAGGAACTAGATCCTCCATGGAGGCAATCTCCTGCTAATGGAGCCCACAACCCAGATGTTGCTGCACTCCATCCATCGACTAATGCTATGCTCTTGGGAGAGGGTCCAAGTCTTCTGTCGCTCTTGTTGTCCGAGTCGATGAACGCGGCCCCAGGCCTGGAACAAAATGTCCATATTCCGTCAGAACCAGCCGACTGGTGGCGTAGAACAGCAAAGCCCCGATGTGATCTGGGTTAGGGTAAAAGAGAAGAGGAACTGATATATAGCTCGACGAGATCTTGCCTGACTGGCCTATATCATCAAGCAATCGCAAGGTCTTGATTGGCGTTTTTACAGAGAGGTCTTCAAGGCTAGGATATTTCTGATCCAGTCCATGATGTGTGATTTGAGGTAGACCCTGCGCCAGCTTCTGTGTCTATCAGTCTGTGTGATGTCCTTCGTGATCACATTGAAGACCTGAAGGTCTGACAGTCGGGTATGTTGCCCAGGTTGTGGCATATCAAGTATTAACGGCTCATCGCTTCTTGGATGTCCATGTGTCCATCTTACGGTACGAGTCAGTTTTCAGGACTGCCGTGGGCCTCTAGTCGATAGAATGGCCTCATGGCCTCCTGGCTGTCGTAAATAGGGACCCTTCTCGTAAGTCCTCTCGCCCGAACAGAAATGGCCCGGACATATTTGTGATATCATGAAGATGGATTCCTGAGAGACATGTCGGATGCAGTCCGTCTGCCATGAACTTCTTCGCGATCATCACAGAGTCCGTTGCCAGGGCCGTGTCCAACATGCGGCCTCCAAAGACGACCAGCGCGAAGGTGTGGAATGCTCGCTCTGACATTTTTGAACAGGTGAACAGCTCTGTATTCCAATGAAAATGATTAGATGGCTGGAATTAATGGAATCGATAGATAACTATGATGGAAATCAACCATGTGGTCGTGATCGTTGAAACGATACCAGAAGCGGCACCGGGCCCTCTGACATTGGGTTGATCCCTATTTGAGCATCATAGCATCCAACACCCATCAGATATTTAATCAAATTGCGTCAAAATCTGATCATTCATGGCTTCCCCAGAGGCCACTAGTCACGACTTCAATTCGTCAATCTCATTGAGGGTGATTCGAACATTGATCAACGAATCCTTAGTTGCTAAAGGCGCACTCGCATTTATCAAGCAGCAAGAAACGGCAAATATATGATGATGGTTTGCGAACCCTCTATGAAACTACGCGCGACGGCGGCGTCAAATGCTTTGCAATGGCAGTCACTCAGGGGAAGGAAAGGGAAGTTCCATTGCTGCCTGGCCCCTGTGCACCCTCGTGGGGCTCGGAGATTACCTTGACAATGAGCGTCTCGATATCGGCGAAATAGCTGAAGCGTACATGTTCCGCTCCAGAGTAGAAAATAGTAGATGTAGAGAAATAAGGTGTCCGGATGATGGATTTAGCCTAGCATTGCATATCCATGATCATAGCAGTATAATATTATAACAAGATAGAAAGATTTGAGGCTCCATCAGTGGTTTATGAGCAAGAGAGGTCGGGGTGATAAAAGGAAGGGATGTAGGTGATGAGGCTATTTCTCTGCAATTGAGCCTCTGAATGCTCTCTAAGCCTTTATGTAGTGAATGCATCTTTATTAGATAGGTGAATGCTTAAGTTCATCACTTAAGTCTTCTAAGTATGTGAAGAAAGAAGAGTGCTACGTATGAAGAGAAAGAAATTAGCTTACCACAGTGGAGTACGCAGTTCACCCATCTGTTTACAAATCTAAGCTAATTGATGAAGGACATCGAGTCTATTTGAGCATCATAGCATCCATCCAACCCCCGACAGATCTTGATCCATTGATACACATTGCGCATTTCCTAAGCTTGAATTTGTTCCATGAATTATCCGACCAAGTATTACTTCCGAAACGATCGGGTTGATTGTTATGTCCATTCCCCCATGATGCCTCTAGAAGTCGTGCTGCAGCAATTCCCACCCCTTCTTTCCGGCTCCTTCAAATCAATTTTTACAAATTGGCGCCGTCGTAGGAGGATCAATATGCATTTTCGGCAATGGCCCAGGCACACGCTCTACCTTGACCAGAACCGGAATGACAGCACCCGTAGCGAGCGCAAACTTCCGGTGCCCCGTGACCTGCAAGATACTCGTAATGGCCCCTGAATGGGCGGTCAAAGAGATAAACGTGTTTCTGTCGTGAGTGAAGATGTCTTGGAGTAAGTCGC